AAATAATGAAAAGAGGGAACAAGAATGGAATATATCAAGGAAAGAGCTTGTGGAGCTTGTTGAAGTTGGCATTCTAACAGAAGATGACATCGATCATGTTACTGCTGCTAGCTTCAACCCTGTATGCTACTTTATCTTCCCCTTGTTATAAACATATCATAATCATATTTTGAGATTGTCCAAAGTACTTCACTGTGTTAGACGATACTATACTAAGAAAAAAAAAAGGTATTGGATGCATGATACTACTTAAATATCATAAGGGATGTTGTGTAATTAACCAGAATGTCCTTTTTCATCTTTATTTCTGGACATTACTCATAAATTAGCTTAATTTCTCAGGAAAAGCTTATGAGTTCCAAACATATGGTTATTAGGCTAGACTTGTAGGTTCGAATTTTAAGTAACTGTTTCACATAAGCATTCAAAACTATTTGAAAAATATGGTATCTTGAGCTCTGCTTATCTTTTTCATATCTTTCTTACAACTCTTTATTTGCTCCTTCTACAGACGAATCTGTAGCTGCTTTTAATCTTTTTATTCGTTTTGATGTTACCGGGTTATCTCATGTTCATCATTCACTAAATCTGCAGAATAGATGTGGATTTGAAGGGAAGGGTGAAATTTGGGTTAATGACATTCTCAATCTTGGTATTTTGTAAGTTTACTATTATGCCCCCGCATTACCGGGTTATTTTCTGTTCACCAATTCATTTATTCAATGGTACTTTGAACTTGTACAATTACAGATCAAGTTGTATTCAGTTTTGTTTGGAAGTCAAAGACAACTAGGACATTTGAGCTTCAAATTGTTTTTGAATACTTCATTTGAAGTTCAGTTAACATATTGTTTCTGAATACTTCATTTTTCATTGTAAGAATTAAATATTCAGATAAAAGAGTTATCCTGAAATTCAGTTATTGTTGACAATTCTCCTGGCATAGTGCTAATAATGGACTAGATCAAAATGGGTCAATTAAATTCTAGTGCTTCTTCTATTAGTGAAGTTTCTAGAAAAAATAAATATATCAAACGGTGCAATGCACCTTGGGTCGCAATGGAAACAGCCTCCTTGTATAATTACAAGGGTAAGGTCTGCGTACAACTGACCCCCAGACCCCAACCTATTGGGAATATACTGGGTATGTTGTTGTTGTTGAATAGTAATTACATTGGACGTAGAATGCTGAAGCTTGCTTGAGTAAATACCGTGATTCTAAAATGTTGGAACCTTAGTTAATGGAGAAAAAGGACTCGAATCTCAAACCTTTTTAATCTACTTCGATTTTTTTTCTCTTTTTTCTTTTTATTTTTTCCTACATTGCAGGCCTGCCAAGCTTATCGACGTCATGAGAAACCGCTTGGATTCCTTAGGTGGTGTCATATTCGAGGGTTGCAGTGTATCTCACATATCAATTTATGAAGATGCAGCTGTAAGAATAATACCTTACAAATGATAGGCTACTAAATTAAAAATCCTATCTTGCCAGGGTTTAATGCACCAAACTCCCTTGTATTATACGAAATCTGCGCGTTTCTCCCCTGTATTTTAAAAATTGCGTCAGACTCCCTTCTATTAAGGTTTTGTATGCGCGAAACACCTAAAATCGTCTAAATTTTGGGTGTTTCGCGCATACAAAACCTTAATAGAAGGGGGTCTGACGCAATTTTTAAAATACAGGGGGAAAACGCGCAGATTTCGTATAATACAAGGGGGTCTTGTATATTTTACCCTATCTTGCCATGATTCATAAAGCATATTTGATGATGAGGAATTACTATTTTCAATTTATCTGTTTGTTTTTCCACAGGTAGTGCAATTGGCTGATGGGAAGATCTTATCATCACGTCTCGTTATTGATGCAATGGGAAATTTTTCGCCTGTTGTCAGACAAGTTCGGTTTTCTTACGAATGTTCAAATCATAACAATGCATTGTTCTTTATTTGGTTGATACCCTTCAGTAGGTGCAATTTGAAATTTCAATGGGATATAATATATAAGTATTTGTATATACATATAGGTATATAACTACATATATATCTTGATGCGTTCAAGTTTTCGACAGATCAGATGTGGGAGAAAACCGGACGGTGTCTGCCTTGTGGTCGGTTCTTGCTGCCGTGGTTTTAAAGAAAATACTAAAAGCGACGTGATATTTAGTAGTGCTTCAGTAAAAAGGGTCGGACAATCTGTAGCGCAATATTTTTGGGAGGTGTAATAATTATAATATTCTGTATTTTATCATAAACTAATTTTCGATTGCAAGTTATTTGTTTCTACTTTTTACACAATCTGGGTTGAAACTTAATTTTTCAGGCTTTCCCTGCTGGTTCGGGTCCCCTCGACCGAACAACTTACATGTTCACCTATCTTTTTCCCGAACCCGAGTGTCCCCTATTAGAAGAGTTGCTAGAGGACTATTGGGAGTTAATGCCTCAATACCAAGTAATATTTTTATAATGTCTTTATGGAATTTTAGAGGATAATTATTATATGAAAAGATTGATGGATTCTTTTTCGAATATGTTTTTAACAACAGGG